CCGACGATCTATCTTCTATACGCAAATGGCTACCATATTGAAAAATATACTATTTTTGTATGATAATTATGGGTTTTGTATTTTATTTTAATAGAAGTTGATGTTGCTTTTGCAATTATCCATCAATTTTTTAAAATTAAACACTATCTACAGATTTGCATCGAAGCGTTTCTTATGATAGTGATTTTAATCACTGTCACATTAAATCTATACTGGACCCTACTATGCAATGTCTCCACTATGCCGCGACCCCACTGTGCTACCGTTTTTTTATAGTTGTTTTTCTAAACACAGTATAACCTGTTTTGATATTCTATATATTATCAACATATGAAAGCTTAAAAATATTTTTACTATGTTAAAACTTATTTATTGAATAAATAAAATTTTATTTTTCCACTTAATAAATTCAAAATAACATAAGTAATAAGATTATCTGCACATTTTACTAAAACAGACAGTCAAATAGTATTATTGGAATTAAAATATTTTTAACTAAACAATTTTTTATTTAAAATTGAAAAAAAAATATACATATCTTGATTTTCAACTAATTATAAATTTTTCATCAATCCCAGTGGTAGATTTTTCCAGGAAGGGGCAATTTTGTAGGTTTTGATCCCTCAGCTGTAATAGACCTAAAATATTTTTATTAATATAGTACATAATACAAAATACATTTTACATATGTATTGAGGGTTAGAGAAAAAATAGTGCTACTCAATAATATAAAATTATGAAATATTATATATCGCGTAATATCAAATTGTCTGACCAAAGGGAAAATTTTTAATTAGCCTATTTACAATAATTGTGCAGCACTAATTATTTGAAAGTCATTAATTAAATATGCCAATATTAAAGATTTTTTTGTAAAATAAAATATCTTCTTCTTTTTCCTTTCCTTAATCCCAACTACTTGGGGTTGGCCACCCTTATCCTAAACTTCCACTTGATACAATCTTCCACATCATCTATGCACACACTAGCCGCCCTCATATCGCATTTAATTACATCCTTCCTATATCTCTTTTTTGGTCTTCTTTTACCTCCTCTTCCTTCAACATTCATTTTTATAACTGCTCATACAGCTTCATGTCCCTCTCTCCTCATAACATGACCATACCATCTAAGTCTATTTTCTCTCATCTTATTTAATTCATTTTTTGTAAAATAAAATGTCATTACAATTAATATGACCATGATAATTAAACAATTCTTAGATAATAAGACTAAGAAAATATTTTCACAAGTTTTAAAACTTAAGTTTCAAGAGCATTTACAAAATCAGGATTGGAAAAATTAATGCCAATAGTCATTAACAAATTCTTAGGAGAGATTTTAGTCTTAGAACCAAAAAATAAAATAAAATAATGCAATGTTAATAAAATGACTAGTCATAAATATGTTTGGTGACCAATAACCATCAAAGTCAGGGGCATCTTCAAAAAAAATACACATTAGGAAAACTAGTTCAATAAGGTTAGTAAACAACTAATTGTATTACTTGGCATTTTCAATTTTAATGTTTTGACTTGTTTCAGCAACAACCAATGGAGATGTTACTTCTCTGCGAGCATCACGTGTACAATAATAATTGTTATTTACTTTATGATAAGGCCCTCCTGGAATATCTGGAGGAGGTTGAGTTGCAGCAGATACTTCATCAACCATTCTAACATTTGGTTTGAAATTACGCTACAAATAACACAAATTTTTACTTAAAATAATAATTTAATATTTAAAAAAAAATTAATTTTACATCATATAATCAGAAATCTTATAATCTTAAACAAATTTAAGTACTGCTGGTTTCCAGTGAAATGGAGATTAAGTATTTTTTTAGATTAGTATACATTAATATCTGACAGTGATTAAAATATAAAACTCTTCCATGTTATAAAAATTAATAGTTTCTACAAAAATGTCTCGATTTCAAACTTTAGAAATCAATTATTAATAGTAAACAAGTAGTTAATAAGTCTTTCTATTTTTAATCATATAGTACTAAAAATAAGCATTGAATTGTATAATTTAGAATGAAGCAAGTATAACATTACAATGTAAAAAATTATAAAATCTGTCATTTTTACCAAAAATTTAAGATTTTATACTTTAGTGGTCGATAATTCATATAGTTTTTGGATTGTTATTATTTTAAGGTAGATTATATTTGCTTTAATTTAATGTAAGTTTGAAGAAGTCAAGTTTTTAGAATTGAAAAATTAAGGAAATATGTTATACGAGGTATAAATTTGAAATACACTATTTTTTTATATACTAACACCGCCTAAAAAAGTTCTAAGAGCTGATATAAATGCAGATGGTTGAAACTGTGATGGTATTTTTTGAACCCAATTGGCCATTTTAATTAAAATTTAAGAAAAATATTACGAAATTAATAACTCTTAAGATTTAACTACTTTAATATTCTCTAATGATAAATAGTTCAGTAATTATTATTCAACCGATTACAGCTGTTAAGAGTATTATCATACATTGATATCAAAAATATAACAATACCCATCACGGCTAGGCTGCACCAGATTACTAGTTAAAATTATAACATAAGCATATTGTACTGATAGATCTCTATGTCATAAAAATAAATATACTTTTTTAAAATTGAAAGATAAAAATAAAAATTTTGTTTTTGTTTGTTGAAGTCTTTATCACAGAATAGACATTATGTCTTTGTAAAGTTTAACAGATAAACAATCAGCTGTCCAGGCTGATAACCTACATCACAAAAACAAAAACATTGATAATTTAATACAAAAACGCAGAAAAATAATAAATAAATCTTTGTATACTGAGATATAAATTTTTTTAACTTGACCATGACATTTTTTCCTTTAAGCTACTTCTATTGAAATTTTTTATCATTTTATGAAGTACAAATGTAATCCTTCTTAATTTTATTTAATTATCAATATTTTTCCAATAATATTTGTTATAATTAAAAAATTATAAAATGTTGTTTGTGAACTAATATTTTTATCTATTGTTTAAAAACTACTTTCCTATTAAATGGAATATATTTTTAATTAAATGTGTTAAATACACTTTTTTGAGACAAAACATCAATCATGTCTGCTGATTCTCCTTGCAAAGCATCTAAAAGTCTTATTGGAAAAACAGTTTTACCGGGTCCAGTTGTTGATAGATCAATTATTGATAGTGTTACTGGATTTATTCAAGATGTAGTTCCTCATGTAAGACGCAAAAAAAATTGAAAGTTTGTTATTTATTTATTTTATATTTAACTGTTTTAGGGATATTCTAATATTATCAATGTTGACAATAGAGAGAAAATACTTTGGACACAATTTGAAACTTTGGAACTAAATGAGTTTTCGTCTACTTTTGAAAATGATGAATCACTTATGTCTGGTGTATCACCGATGCTTCTTACATTGGGTTATGGATTTGGTGTTCAAGTAATTAAATTAATTGGACATTTACAAATAAATTGAACTTTTTATTGTAAATGTTTGGAAAAAAATGTTTATAATTTATTAATTTTTTTTACTCTAAATAATGTAAATTTATGCTTCTGCTTGAACTGAAAATTTGATTATTTTTTATATGGAAAATTATATTTAATGTTCAAGGTGTGGTATATTGGAGCTAATGGAGAAGCATATGAAGTTTTATCATGGTCTCAGGGAGTTGTAAAAATTTTAAAGTTTATACCCTCACCTATTCTAGACCTCAAGTTTCGTCAAGATCCTTTTGCACACAAAAGACCATTGATTGCTTTATGTGATGGCTCTGGTCCTGGTCCACAATTTTGTTCTATAAGTTTTGTGTCATTGACCTGTGGAGATGTGGTTTGTTTATATATAAAAAAAATGTTTTCATCTTATACTTATAATCAATATTTTTAGGTTAAAACAATAAAGTTTAAAAATCCTATCATGGATATAGCTGTGAATCATTTTGCAATAGCAATTGTCTTTTTAGAAAAAATTGCCATTTTTGATGCATTGACAGTTGAAGATATTATGACAATCACCACTTGTTATCCTAGTCCTGGTATAAAATCAAACCCCATTGCCTTGGGAACTAGGTAAAATTTATGTCTTATCAACTTGATACTAATTTATACAGTAGAGGTAAAAATTATAAGACACCCCCAAATTTTATATTTCACGCGTTTCAATTTTGGGTTTGTATGCAATTGTAAACGTTTAAATACATGTAGTATTGTATGTAAGTAAGTATGTAAGTAAATACATGAAACTTTTTATAATGTGTTCATAAATTTAAAAGAAAACCGCTTCATTTACATTGGTTCCATTTGTAACTTAATTTTTATGATTATTTTAGATAAAATTGTAATACAAAATAAAATAAAACATTATATTTTGTGAAATTCTATATTATATTTCAAATTAATTAGTTGAAATTAAATAAAATATGCTTTTTTCTATGATTTTTACCAAGCATATTTAAAAAATTAACTTATTTGACAGTTCATTACCAAAAAAACTAAAAATTCTTATTATTTGCCTGTGCTTTGAATATTTTTAAATGAATCGACTTGATCATTTTTTTCATCAAACTTAATTATCTAAATAACATGTAGAAAAAAAATTTTTAAAAGCCTTTAAAATTATTTGTTGACTGACATTTGTTGTATTTTTGCAAAAGTAACATTTTTAACTAAAATAATCTTAAACATTAAGTTACAATGAAACCAATGCAAAATAAGTGGTTTTTTTTTAAGTTTATGAATACATTATTAAAAAAAAAAAATTTTATGCATTTACTTGATGATTTAAACGTTTACAATTGCATACAAACCCAAAATCTAAATGTTTGAAATATAAAATTTGAGGGTGTCTTATAATTTTAACCACTGTAAATAATTACTGTATAGCAAAAATATGTTCATACATATAGATGGTTAGCTTATGCAGACCAAAAAGTTATTTCATGGAATCGATCATTAGGAGGATATGAAGGTGAAAATGGCCACTCTTATACTGCAACAGTTTTACATGCTGCAAAAACATTGAGTCAGAGTCTAAGAGACTTAAGTGGATCTGTTGCAAATAGTATAACAGGCGTTCATAATTCCAATTCAGTACATAACATATCTTTAGTAAATGAATCAAATCAAATGAACCCTGGTATTATTACTGTTATTGATATTAAAGTATGTATATGGAATTAGCAATGTATTTTATGAAAATTTCAATTAATTTTTTTTTCTTAATTCTATACTTAGAATAAATTATTAAAAGAAATGGAAAATCATGGACCAGATATAGTGGCTCATTTTATTGCTCATTGTGAAGCTATTGTAGCATTAAATTTTGATCAGTCTGGTTTGATGTTAGTTACTGCTGATAAAAATGGACATAGATTCAATGTATTTAAGATAAATCCAAATGTATTAGGTTCACCATTCGCATCTGTACATCATTTATACACTTTACATAGGTACATTTGAAAGTTTTATTCAATTATTCTTATTAATTTAATTGGAAATTGTTATAGAGGTGATACTACTGCCAAAATTCAAGACATACAATTCTCCAGTGATTCTAGATGGGTAGCAGTAAGCTCATTAAGGGGAACTACTCATCTGTTTCCAATTACACCTTATGGAGGCCCAATTGGGTTACGAACACATTCAACACCACATATTGTAAATAAATTATCCAGGTAAATAGAAATCTTTCTTATAATTTATTATATTAATTATAGTTATGTTAATCATATAATAAAAATTGATCACTTGTGGCTAATTAATTAAGTAAAATTAAAACTATATTAAAAATATTATTAATTTAAAAAAACTAAAAAATATTAAAAATATTAAACTCAAAGCCACAAAAAAATTAATGAAAAGTATGTGTTTAGCGTTGATAATGGTAACATTGTTTCCGAAATACGTATCCGCGACTTTTCATTAACTTTTTTGTGGCTTTGAGTTTAATATTTTTAATATTTTTTAGTTTTTTTAAATTAATAATATTTTTAATATAGTTTTAATTTTACTTAATTATGTTAATCATATTTGTAAAATTTAATCAACTAAAGACATTATATTATTGTCTACTTTAATTTATATTTTTTTCATCAAATGAAAATAGTTCATTTATGTTTAATCAATTTTTTTTTTTTATAGATTTCATCGTAGTGCTGGATTAATATCTGATGGTAGAAATAGTCCTGTATTAACTGATTCATTGCAAAATTCTCAAATTATACTACCGTATTCAAGTCCATGTATTAATCCAGCGCCTCATCCAATTGTTATACAGTCACTTAATCAAATACGATCTCAAGGAAATAAATTAACCTCAGATGAGGTTGGTATATCTACATATATAAGATTATCAACTTGTTTTGCCCATGGTCGAGTTTTAGATACAACTATGATTAGAGACATATCAAATTTGTCTTATAATTCAAAGAAAACTGTTGCTGATTCTTTATACGTAATGACTAGTAATGGAATACTTACTCAGTATGACATGTTCCCTGTTCATTCTAACTGTAAGTAAATTTTCATTATAATCACATCAATTGTTTTTTTAGGAAAAAAATGAAAAATCTAAGATAAAATGATCAAATTATTACATTATTTAATAATTTGACTTTAAGTATACACAAACATCCTTTTTAATGTCAACTCTATCAACAATAAAAATAAGTAGTAATAATATCAAATTAATATTTGAGAAATTATTTGATCTTTTTTTAGCCATTTCAAAAGAAAAAATATTTGATGATACTATGATTGAATTGAATATAGAACCTAAAACTGAATGGAATTTATACAAACCTCCTCTTCATGCAACCACTGTAAATCCTCCTTTAAATAGAGGTAATCCACTATTGGATTTATTTATAAAAACTCCATTTTCAAATGTAACAAATGTCACAGAAAAAAATAATTTGGAAAATATTGATGAACGATGGCTGTCTCAAGTAAATTTTTAACTGTTCCTAAATAATTTTTTTTTAATCAATTTTTAACATACAAAATGAAATTTAGGTTGAAATTAGTACTCATGCTGGTCCACATCGCCGTCTTTGGATGGGACCTCAATTTTCATTTAAAACTTGTAACACTTCAATTTTAGGGTAATATAATCTGTTACAAAATAGATTTAAAAAAAACACCTATAATGTTACTAATTTATTTTAGAAGATCTGATTCTGATACTCAATTGAGTGAAAATGAAAATGGTCCACGGCTTGTGAAATCAAGTCCAGTTAGTGTTCCACAAACTGGGACTTTAAGTAGACAAAGTACTCCCGTTTTTATTGAATGTGGTTCAAATAGTAAGTATTATTAAAGATTTATGTGCTTAAAATTTAATATTGAAAGCCTTTGTCATTGTACATTAACAAAACTTTAAAAAATAATTAAATTTAATATTAATAAGTCATTCTGATTTGACAATTTAGTATTTAGCATTTAATAAAAAAAGTATATAATGAAACCTATACTGTTTATACTACAGTATAATATATAGTTATAAATATTAATTATCATAATCAGTACCTTGCTAACTATCATTGTCGCCATATGGAAATCATATATTTGGTGCTTCTATATTATATATTTATAACAAAATACATCTTATGCCAAAAAAATGTATTCATATATTTCTAGTTCCCATTGCCCCTCTTAGGACAGCTTCAATCATTATTTAGAATATATTTTTATATTCATTTTTATACTAACTAATAGTAATTAAATACTTTAGGTAGTTTTGATTATTCACCTAAATTTCTGGATTTGAATCAAGGAGATTCGTCAGATTTTTCATCTGACCAAGGTGAAACTAAGATACTTGAAGACCTTGCAGAAGCTATGAATGAGAATCTTCATATAAATAAAGCTGGTAACTTTAAATAATTATAAATTCGTCCTTGTAATTCATTAATATTTCAAGTTTTAAGTTTGCTCAGTTTTAAACTTTTTTGATACAAGATTATTTATATATGTTATATATTATAAAATTAATTTTTTTTTAAATTAAATATATCTCAGTAATTGTTTAAAAATTATTATCAGATGTGTTAATAAATATCTTATGAAGTATTTATCTCTATGTTTAATACATAGCTAATTTTTTTAGAAGAGAAGATTCAAGAATTTTCAGTAGATTTGTTAGATAAAGGTTTGCTATTATAAATGTAAATATCTAATTAGCTGAAAAACCATTAATTGTATTAATATGATGTATCTATATTTATTACTATTCAATTAATCATTGAGTTTACTTATTTATGAATAAGAACTATAGCAATTTCTTTTAATATAATTTACTTTTTTCACTCATTTTAGCTAAGTTGTTAAAAAAAAACTTAAATAAATTATTCAAATACATAAAGTTAAGTTTAATTAGTTATGTCAATAGTGTACCTATTAATAATTAACTATACTACCACGTAGAGATGTCTTCTTGGGTAGTAAATGAATATACTAACCAAGTACCACATAAAGAAATATTTACAAACCAAGTATTGATTAATAGACGGGTTGGGTTATTAAAATAGCTTAATTTTAAGAATTTATATAAAAAAAAAATAAAAATATCAACCTTCTATTATAAATTCCTCATTTAAATTAAACCAAAATATAAAGCGTAAAGTGAAATTTTAACACCCCATATTCAGAATTCGCTTCCCCAAAAATCTAGAAAAATCATGTATATTTTATTTGGCCTCCTCAACATTTTTTTCACCTTACAATGCATGCAAATTCTCATTTATAAAATATTTATTCAAATAATTCTAAAAAAACCTTTACTAAAATTTTTTGATCACTATTGATCAATTATTGAATATCATCATTAAAATTTATTTAATTAAAAAACATTTTAATTATTCATCAAAAATAACAATACTCCTCAGTAGGTACAAATAATAGTCAATCAAATATTTTTAATTTTTGTAATTTCCAGAAGGTAACATACTATAACATTTTTATCTACTCAATGATTGAAGTGATTATAGATATGATAAAAATAACTGAACTAGAACTATAAACTTGATTAAAAATATCCTCATATAACAATAATTTTTTAAAGTAATGCCAAAAATAATTCTGTTACTACATAAAAAAATGAATACAAAACTAGTACTTGGTATAAACCAAATCATAAAAAGAAGACCGTGTACTAACAATTTCTTGAAAACCAGCTACACGGCTCATCTCTACTAACATATATACATATTTAATAAATTTTCAAATAAAATGATTGTTTGGAAGCATATTTTTTTTCTTTTTTAGGCTTATTAACTCATTTTTTTTGTATTTCAGTTTTAAATTTACTAATTCATTTTCTTTATCTCTTAGAACTCTCAGAAACTGAAACTATAGATGAAGGCCAGTTTAATATTCAGCCTATATTAATTAAAAGGTGTAAGAAAGCAAAAAAGAAAAGAAATAAGTAATTAATGAAACCAAATTTAAAAAAAACTATCATGTTATAGTTAAATGTTATTTTTTTTAATTCTTTGTAAAGTTTAAATTATTGTATAAAAATTTTATTTTATTTAAAAAAATAATTGAATTAACCTATTGTTACTAGTGTTTATAAAGTAAAAAAATTGTCATTACCTATGTATAAAATTTGTTTAATGTATTTTATGATCATTATATCCATGTTTATTTTTAGCTCTTAACTTTTAAGTTATTTCTATGGTACCTACTTATAGTTATAAGTAAATATTTAACATGAAATTTATTGAATTTTGTCACTGCTTAATAGTTATAGCATGTACAGTATTTATTATAGCTATCATATTTGTTAAATATAACCTGACTAATCAATCACAAAAATGTTTTAGTGGATCGGTAAGAATAATTACAATAAAAATAAAATTATAATAAATACTTTATTGTTTTAAGACTTATTTTTAGTTTAATTGTACAAATGTGGACATGACACCTCGAATTGAATCTCCTATTAGTTTTTTAATTTGGCATTATGTATATTTTTATGTTATTTTTATGATAATTCTTTATTTGTGTTACTTATACACATCTATACCATTTGTTTCCGTTGAAGAAAAAATAATAATGAACATACAGCCACTTTGTATAACAGTTGTAAAAGATTAAACATTTTTATGTATTTATTTTTTGTAACTTAATTAATTATCCTTTTTTTTATTAAGTTAAGTTGATAAAAAGAAAACTAAAATAAATAAAAAAATTATATATTGATTTGCATGAAAATGTTGAAAAATAATACTTATAAAATTTAACTAGTAGTTATGTAATTTTAAAAATAGAAGTATTGTTAATACCATCATTATGTAAATATATATTGATAAGTTAAAATATTGTTGATTATGAAAAATAAACTGTATCAGACAATCCTGAGGAAGCAGTACTTTACAGCTAGTCATTTTGGGTAGTTTTAAGAGGGAAGAAAGCATATTAAGAAAAAAAGGTTGATAAAAGCCTAATGTGTCTACTATCAAAAACTTCTCTCTAACTAAAATTTTAATCTATTTATTAAACACAAATTTAATTCTAAATTTGACCATCTTAGGAAAAGCTGAATTGTTAATAGTGTAACTACTAAGAATAATGCTTAAGCATTTGAAATTTTTGATCCATTGAGCAGTATCATATAATCAATTAATTGAAAATTTTCCATTTAATTTAAAATTAAATCTTGGAAGGTTAATAAGAGAAGGAGTTTTCCTTTATTAGAGCTAGGTATTTCTAAATAAAGATGAAAAATAAAATTGGAATTATTGCTTTTAATCATGCAATTCATTTTTTCACTAATATCACTAGAAAACACAGAATAAATACAAGTAATACACAATATTAAACAGTAATATGTACAACATAAAATTAGATAAACATTTTTGTTTCTATTAAATTTTCACATAGCAAATGTCAAACTTGATATAAGATACCATGTTGTAATGGGTTGAACCATCACAGCCATTATTACAAAATAAAGTGTCCTTTTACGCTTATATTCAACCATAACAATTGTTTGGTTTACATTAGGATCAGGAACTATTGAATTTAATTGACATCGCATTGAAAATAACTGAAAAAAAAAAACAAATATAAATTATTAAAAAAATTAAAAACTTATCATACAACTAAATAAATAATTAAGCAAAAGCTCATTGTAAAAATGAATTTATACTATTTAATCATAACATTGCAGAAAAATCTCTTTTCTCAAATAAAAATAATTACAACTATATAATAGTACTTTAACCACTACATTTATTACATGAAAATAATACAACATAGCTAAATCATATAAATTTTCATAGCAAAGTTATATTTATATTTAAAGAATATATCATTTATTTATAGAACATTTTATAATGGAAACTATATTAGTTTCTACAGAAAAAATAATAAGGAAAAGAGCTTTGTCCTCTAGTGTATGATATCTAACATTTGTATTATTATATTATATTCAAGTAATATAATATATTATATATTATATTACAGTATTTGAGTAAAAATGATTTAAGTTATACTTTGTAAATCATCATAGTCATAATTTCAGATTGGGAATACTATTATAAATGTTACACTTATAGAAGTAGCTATTTTTATATAAATAATAAAATTAAAATGATTATATTACCAAAAAATACATAAATGCAACACTTGAATATATAAGAGTAATATAAAACAATGTTTCTCCAAAAAGTAATCCAACAGGAACACATAAAACAATGCTAAACAATTAATATTTTGATGAGTTATTAGTTTAAAAATCAACAATATTAATTTCTATATACCCAAAGTATTTGTATCCAGAGTATGAAGTAAGATCCAAAGTTTTTAAAGAACTATGAACATTTGTCACATACAATACAAAAACCTCAATCGCAACCAAAAATACTTCCCAAGCTAATGCACGTGAAGCATAGACACTTAATAATTCAGGGCTAAACTGACCATGTTTTCCAAGAATAAGTCCCAAAAATAATAAATATCTAAAAATAATATCAATAATTAGATTAAAGTATTTTCTTATATTATGAGTAAATTTTGTAGGAAAATTAACTTATATTGAGAATAATGAATAGTAATTATCATACGTGACAAATGAAACAGTTGGTATATAAAGATCAGGAGCATTTATATCTGTCTTTGGTCCAGCACGTTGATGACTATTAGTATCACCTCTTGACTCCAAAATAATTGACCAATCCTATACAATTAGACAAAACGCATTAATGAAAAACTGTTTTTATAAAGTATTTTTCTAATCATTTTTATGTAGATTGAAAATATCTTTTATGATTTTCAAAGTTATATAAAAAAAAATCGAGATTATTGACTTTACAAAGCAACTACTCATATATATTAATTCTTTAGTACATTTATTAAATATGAAAAAGAAATTTTGGATAGTTGAATATAATATAATGATTATAATTATAGTGAAATTCAATAAAATAAACATATAAGGATTTGATAGAAAATTTTCATTAAAAAAATAATTCACTTTATATATATAACATCTTTACATACAGTTCTTGCAAATGGAAACAGCAATAAAACCAATTTACTGATAACATAACGAGTGTCAACAGCAAAATATCGTTTAATTTCTGCACTAATACCACTAGTATATTTGCCAACATTTTCATCAACTACTTGACCAATTATTTTTTGGCCATATCGAACAGTTGCACCAGCTAATAGTGGATTATTTCCAAAAGCATCAACAATGTTACTTGATGGAATAAACATAGAAGGCGACTGTTGAGGAATTTGAGGCCTTTGACCTTAAACAATTAATTATATTAGGAAATAAAATGTTAAATATTATTAATGGTAAGATAATATATTATTTTTCATAACAATAATTAATGATGTAATTTTTTTGTTTTTTACTAGTTTAGCAATACAATTTTTTTATAAATACACAATGTTCTATATTTAGTACACATACATACATAGCTTTTATTTTATGATTTTCTTTTTATCAATCTCCATACTCATTATTTTTTTTGTAATCATACAAGTTATTTAGGTAATTTTGGTGAAAGTAAAACAAACCACATAGAACAAAAAAAATATGGTACTATTGTTCTATGAAAACATAAAAGAACTAGTAAAACTAGCCAAAAAAAAAAATAATAATTCCTCATATAAATAAGATATTGTTTACAGTAAAAAAGTATATTGCATTTATTTTACATAGATATAACATAACTATCTCTACTGAAACTAATAGTCTCAAAACAACCAAAAATGGTAAAGTAAATAGAAAATCCTAATGATTACCTAATGATTAATGATATTATTACCACAACTAGCATATTTATATAACTATATTTTTTCATTTAAATAACTATTTCTAACCCAATCAAATTTATCCTATTACTTAGCATACGTTTAAAAGTTTATACAAAAAATAATAATGTACTTAAAACAAAATTACGACTAACTTGGTATTTCATAATTTTGTCCCTGTTGAATATTGTTAATCTGAGAAGGTACAGAATATCCAAAATTATTTTGGCTATAACCCTGTTGAGGCTGAGAAGGCATGGATGTAAAGTCATTATAGTAAAATTGTTGTTGAGATGACTGTGATTGAGAATCTGAGGAAGGCATATAATGCGATGGCTGACTGTAAAAATATGAATCGTTGGTAGATGGTCCTGCCATTGGTGTATTATTTACATCTAAACCAGGAGTTTCCATCGGTCGTCTAGTGAGGCGTCTGCCACTACTACTATTATCTAAAAATTACAATATTTCTTAACAGCCGTTCATTTTACACATATTTAATAAAAATAATCTAATAATACAGTTCAAATTACTTAGATTTTCGTTATAATTCATTATAACTTTCAATTCTTTTAATAAAATATGAAAATAAAAATATGTAAATTACACATCAAAATAATAGACAATTAATAATTTGTTTTCTATTATCATTTATCAGTAGATTTTATGAATATAAAAAATTCAATCGCCACGTTTTTCTAGACCTATCAGCAAAAGATAAACGAGACAATACATATGAATCTTATCAACAGTCTGTTAATATCTTTAAAAGTTTATGATTTTCCCCTCCTAAGAATCGCTATTTACAATGTTTAAAAATATGCTTATTGTTGAGACCATTACGATTTACGCGAGTGGATATATTAAATGGACTATTTTAATTTGTCATTTTTTAATTTTAAATAATGCTTTAAAATTCCATGTAGGAATATAACTGATTACCAAATTTATTCCTTAAAGTAATTTCATAGATAATTTGTAGATTTTTAAAATTTGAATACATTATAGCCAGGGCCGGATTTGACGGAGGGTTTTAAGGGCACTTGCCCCGGGCAGCAGATGTTTGGGGGCATCCGGATGCCGAATACTATAAAAAAAAATTTAAACTTTTTAACCCTCGGCTTATGAAAAAATCAACTTTAAAAAATAAATATTGTTTTGTATTTATATAATTTGGTCTGCAAAATTAATACCGATATACGTCACATGATAACAAAACGACATTGGGGCATACTGCAAATACAATATAATACTTTAGTAAATTGGTATAAACGTTCGAGTAATTATGTCATTTATTATTAAACAGCGTGGTGATAGTGCCTGGAAACCCCGGGTTTGATAAGACGTGACTTTGACTTCTACGAATCGATACCATATTATAATAGCGATTAGCGCAGGCCGTCCGTCGTTGTGTTATTTTGTTTTCACGTATCTTGGTTATCCTTTTTATTATAAACATCTTAGTACCTATCAAAGTTGGAATAAAGGAATAAACACACTACCAACAGCTAATTCAAACGTTCAGTGCCCAGTGATCGAACTATTGCGTTTTCCATATATGTGTGTTAAGTTTCGTGTAATCGTGTGCGTAATTTTGTTGGGTTTTAGCTTCGATGCGAAGCTGAGAAGGTATTAATTTTACTATGATGTTTTTTTTTTTTTTGTGTCTGTTACCACTCTTTCTCAGCTCTCATTGAACCGATTTCTTTCAATGATACGTCAAAAGATCACAAATCGTATTTAGTCGAAGACATTACCCTCAAAAATTGAAAAAAATTCTCTCGTTCCCCGTAAATGGAGGAAACCTCCAAAAAAATACAAATTTTAAAATCGTTAATTTACGAAATTTTTTTTACTTAAAACTACCATAATTTTTTCAAAAATTAACAAATCAATATAATTTTTTTTTATAGATGCTTGATATCTTTACTTATCATTTGGTATATTTTTTTTGTAAATCTAACCCTTTATCCGCCCACAGGGGGGGATTTAAAATGACAACTTTTTCACAAAAAATTAACTTTATCAACTTAACTTTTGAAAATGTTCCGGAAGGTCTGACACTTTTATATATATCTTAAATTAAACCTTATGTAATATTCTTTATTATGAAAAAAAAAAATTTCGGACTTTATTTTATCTTCACGGTGAAAATGGCCCCCGAATGCTATTTTTGTGTGAAAATTCTCGATTTTGTATTTTACATTTTCATGATAAACACAATTTTTTTATGAGAAATAATATTTTTTAATATTCCCTTTTTCATTAGACATACTTTATCTTAATCAGGATATTAATAAGGAACTAGCCGATCATAATAATTTGAAAACAATTAATTTTAAAAATTATATAATATGTAATTAAAAGAATTACTAAGCTGAGTATAATTAAGGAAATAGAAGTTGATGTTGTAATCATCTACCAATTTTTTAAAATTAAACAGTATCTAAAGATTTACATCGAAGCGTTTTTTTTTTTTATTGTTATTTTGATCACTGTCAGATATCATTATACTTGATCCAACTATGCCACGTTACTACTGTGCCGCGACCCCCTTGTACTGACTTTTTTTATTTTTTGTTTTTTTAATTTAAAATACGCTGTGTGCCGAGTGGAGGCTGAAAACTCCGAAGACTGAATACTCCCGAAATAAATATTGTAAGTTCCATTCAATGTAGGTAAAAAATGTGTTATAATTGTGTAGTATTGTTCAGTTTATGTGATAGTGGCTTGTGGAATGATTTTTTTTTAGGCGATGTATAGGTAATTTTTCCAGTTTAATTGATTAATTAATTTTAAATTTGGTGTCAATATTTTTTTGCCCTTGATTTTCATTTAAAAATTGATTTTATTTTTACAATTGTATGGTACAGAATACCTTTAGAAGGATCTAGTTGACCAGTTACCCCTTATATTTAAGATACTCTCTGAGGAATTTCTAGTATACAGAGTGATTTTTATATCATAACCCACTCAATTACTTATAGAATAAATATATTTAAAGATTTTTTTTTTTTTGTGATCTTTAGTTACACATTATTCTCGAATTATTATCTATGTAATACTTTTTAAGTTCATCCCTTATGCCTTGTAATGGGGTCAACTTTGTTTTTTTAAATGGAAACACATATTTTTAATTTAATAAAATGTTTGAGTTTTTAATTTAATAGTAGATGCCACTGTAATTTTTAAGATAACTTTATTCGTTTATTATATATAAACAAGTTTCAAATTTTTTAGTTAATATACATGTATGATTTTTATGACATAGCTGTCAGTCACGGATTGTTTATTATCAATTATGACTATCAATAGATATACTATTTTATTGTTAGTTAGTGTATTTATAAACTCACAACAATGTGCCTTACCACCATTGATAATAACAATGCTGTGTACCTGCTAATATCGATGTCATAAAAAACCAATTAGCTACCTGTATTTGTAATGCCTTGTGTATTATACATGTATATTAAATAAAAAATTTGAAACTTTAAATGTTTATATATAATTTATATACCAAATTTATAAAAATATATTTTTATTTAACATTTTTGATTTAAATAATTTTAATTGTACTATTTACTACCTACTGCCAATAAAAATTTTAAAGTATTAAATTTAATTAAACTTTTATTATAATTTATAATTAATGTAGCTGCTATGGAGGTTGAATTTAAAAATTTTAATAAATTTAATTGTAAGATTATTATATTTATTTTTACTCTTCAAATTATGAAGGTTTAATAAATTTATGTAATATTGCTATCTTTAAATGAATTTTGAAATTTGTGTTACATGAACAGCAGTGTTTCAAACTTGAAATAAACACGTTTTAGGTAAATAGTTATAAAGTGCAAATTTGGAAATTTTAAAACTTTTATCCTTAACTACGTCGATAATGAGTATTTTTTTATTATTTTACTGTTAGGAGCCTCAAAAATAAATTTGCCCCGGGCATCCAAAAGTCTAAATCCGGCCCTGACTATAGCACTTGTAATATTATACCATATTCTAACCAATGCAGGTAGTATTTAAAGGGATAGTTAAAAATGGTTCTCTCGTCTGTTGAATTCTACCCTCCCTTCAGAAATTACTGATTGCACTAATGATCAGCCCTATTATTGAATTAAAAAAAAAACCCAGCACAGTGGGGTGGCGGCACAGTGGGGTGGTGGCACAGTGGAGTGGTGGCATAGTTGGGTCCAGTATAGATGATATCTGACAGTGATTAAAATCACTATCATAAAAAACGCTTCGATGCAAATCTGTAGATAGTGTTTAATTAAAAAAAAAAATTTGTTAAAATAGCATATTTTTAATATGGTAGACATTTGCGCATAGAAGATAGGTCGTCAGGACAAATTTTTTTTTTCATTTTATATTACATAAAATAAGCTTTAATTTAATATTTGTTTAAAGGACGCAGTATTTCTGGAACATTTTCAAAAATTAAGTTGAAAAAGATCTATGTTTTTTACAATATTTCAAGTTTTGGACGCCCCCTATATAAGGGGAAATTGTCCAATTTTAATAAAAAGTATGTCAAATGAAAGATGTACTTATAATGTATTTAGAAAAAAAAAATTTGTGCTGATATATACATTTTTCAAAAAGTTATAGCATTTTTAAGTTGAAAATTTAAAATCGAAAATTTTAACACAAAAATAGTGTTTTTTTAACTACGGCAGCCGTTTAAGGGGCACACCTAGTGTGAAATTTTCAAAAAATCGATTTTTTTTTTTTTCCATATTTTGATAGGTTATACCTTTAAAAATAACATACTAAAATTTTAAATCGATATCTTAAATAGTTTTTGAGTTACAGCCATTTAAAAGAGTAGCCGCTCGGCAGTTAGATAGTTGCATTGGCTACGGGATATACCTGAGCTTTTGTTCGGAGTCTGCTGTCTCTTCCAACCCTTGTAATACGATTCCGGTTTCTATTGTGAGTCTCCAGGTATACAGAAATATATAAGTATAATTATTTCGGTATATTTTTCGTTTACTGCGACGTCACGTATTTTCGGAGCCAGATACATTTAGTTTTATTATGACTGTTGTATCGAGTACTTCGTAAGTTAGCGCGTTTTATTTAGTCTAAAATGAGTGAACAATCTTCCTATTCAGATAAAAAAGGAACTCACGATGTTCCCAGATACCGATCAAGAACAAGAAAACGAAAATTTACTGGAAACCAACATACATTTGAGCAATCTACGGCGAATACAAGTACGTCTGCAAAGAAACTATTGCATAATAATGACGAGAATATTGTGATTGACCCTTCCCATGGATATTGTATTCTACAGTTTGTCTCAGTTTTTAGTACAATCAGCAATTTAGTGGTGTGCAAAACTTGTCTCAAGGAAATTACTTTTAATCAAGCAAGTCCAAGAGGCCTGGGGTTTAAAATAGCTGTCATTTGTGAATGTGGTAATTCGTACATCAATTCTGGACCAATGATTGATAACGCATTCGAAATAAATAGACGTCTTGTTGCTGTGTTGCGTCTTTTGGGAGTCGGAATAAATGGGATCAATCTTTTTTGCGGACTAATGGATCTAGCAAGCAAATTTTATCATCAAACTTTTGATGGATGTTTCACAAATGTATGGACTGCAGCCGAAACCGTTTGTAAACTAAGTATGCAACAAGCTGTAAATAAAGAAAAAGAGCTTACATCAAAAGAAGAAAACTCAGAGACAAATTTGACTGTTAGCGGGGACGGTACCTGGAAAAAACGTGGTCATACTTCCCGTTTTGGAGTAGTTACGCTGGCAGGAAAATACAGCAAAAAAATTGTTGACTCATGTGTGAAGTCTACTTACTGCCAGAGTTGTGTTTTTTGGGAAAAAAGAAAAGAGAGCGATCCTGAAGCTTACGAAGAATGGTCATCGTTACACGAAGAAGAATGTGATGTTAATCATAAGGGATCTGCCTCAAAAATGGAAGTAGATAGTGTAAAAGACATGTTTGGTCGTTCCATTAGTAACTATGGCGTAAAATATTCTCGCTATATTGGCGATGGTGATAGCGCCACTCATAAAGGTTTACTAGATTTGAATCCTTATGATACTCCGGTTCAAAAATTAGAATGCTATTTACATGTGAAAAAAAGAATGGGCACACGTTGCCGAAATTAAAAAAAAACCAATAAGAAGTTAGAAGGAAAAAGTATGAAAATGCAAAAGTTAACTGTAAATTTAATAAACAAACTTCAAAAATATTACGGTTTGGCAATTATGAGAAATCAAGATAATGTAGACGAAATGTATAAAGCAATCTGGGCTACGTTTTATCATTTGTGTTCAACTGATGAGAAACCAAACCATGATAATTGTCCAGAAGGCGCAGAAAGTTGGTGCGCTTATCGCCGCGCGGAAGCTGAAGGAATGTTGAGTAAGTTTAAGCACGATTACCTCCCACTGGATCCAGAAGTTGAAAAAGGTCTAAAGCCTATTTATGAAGATTTATCTCGGCATGAATTGCTTGATAGATGCAAAGGTAGTAATACTCAAAACAATAATGAAAGTTACAACGGTTTACTTTGGCACTTTTCACCAAAGCACCTTCATAATGGATTGAAAACTATTGAATTAGCAAATTTTTTTGCAACTTCAATATTCAATGACGGTTACTCCTCAATTTTAAAGATATTTAATGTAATGGGAGTAAAAGTTGGACCTGCAGCAAGAGATTATACGGCTCTTAAGGACGAGACGAGACTACGAATCGCTGATCATCGCCAACGGGCTTGTTCAAAAGAGGGTCGATCATCTCGAAGAAGAGCTTCTTCAGCTCAACAAGCACTTTTTGAGGAAGAGGAAGGTGAATTATATGGGCCTGGAATAGCAGATTAGCTGTAAGTATGATTTTAATCCATTTATAACAGTGAAAACGATCATTTTATCTTTAAACGCATTTTTCTCGAAACAGCATTTTTCGAATTTGCTGGAGTGATTACTCGGAGACAAATGATCTGATCGCTATCAAATTTTTTTTTGCATCTCCTCTATATAGTTCTCCATACGATGACCCTCCAGTTTTTTGATCTGATCAAAAATCGAATTTTGGCAGGCCAAAATCGACCAAAATTTTGGGAAAAATTTAACTTTTTTTTTCAAAATGCCGCCATTTTGTTAATTTTTGATTTTTTTGTTCGCCCGAGGGTCATCGTACAGACAATATGTTTTAGTTTAACGAGAATTTTTTTTTTTAGGTTTTATCAACGGAGAAGGCTGCAATCACTCCAGCAGTGTAGGACCTTTTTTTTTTGGCGCCGCCGGAGATCGCGTGTCATTTCAAAAATATTTAATATTTTATTTCAAAAATTTTACCGTGTATTCTCAAAACATGTATAAATATACCCTCAAAATTTTAAATAGATGGATTCACTAGTTTTTTTTTTTTTTAATTCCCAAAAATGGCCTTTTTTTAGGTTGTCACACTAGGTGTGCCCCTTAAATGTAGAAGAAAAAGTGTCGGTACAAATTTTTTTTTTTCATTTGATAGTATATAACATAACCTTTGATTTGATATATGTTTAAAAGACGCAGTCTTTCCGGAACATTTTCAAAAATTAAGTTGAAAAAATTAATTTTTGTGAAAAGGTTGCCATTTTAAATCCCCCCCAATGAGCAGGTTAAGTGATAGATTTTCAAAAAAATGATATCAAATGAAAGGTAAATATCTAAGGTTTTAGTATAAAAAAAAATTATGTTGATTTGTTGATTTTTCAAAAAGTTATGGAAGTTTTAAGAAAAAAAAGTGAAAAAATTTCGAAAATTAGCGATTTTTAAATTTGTAATTTTTTTGGATAATTTCCCCATTTGCGGGGAACGAGGGAATTTTTTTCAATTTTAATGTCTTCAACTAGATACGATTTGTGATCTTTTGACGTATTTTTGAAAGAAATCGGTCCAGTGAGAGCTGAGAAAAAGTGGCAACAGACATAAAAAAAAAAAAAACACATCATAGTAAAACAATACCTTCTCCGCTTCGCATCGAAGCTAAAATGTAAAAANATACATCATAGTAAAATTAATACCTTCTCCGCTTCGCATCGAAGCTAAAATATTTCTTCTAAAATCGTATTTTAGAATACGATTTTATAATTATTCTAAAAATGTATTTAAATCCGTATAAAATATAAGATTAGGCCAGTTAACGAAGGAGTAATTTTGGAGAATGGCGGAATTGAATTACCCACCATTGAATTTACAAGAAAAAGACCGATTTCATACGCTTTATGATAATTAACTTTATCATTACGAGATATCCCGGTGGCAATTGACATAATATAATTGTTGTTTGAAAATTTACAATTTAGCGTTTGGTTGGATTTAAAAAAGCCACTAAAAAAAAACCTAGCATAGTGGGTTGCGGCAAAGTTGGGACGTGGCATAGTTGGGTCAAGTATAATGATATCTAATAGTGATTCAAATCACTATCATAAAGAACACTTCGATGCAAATCTGTAGATAACGTTTAATTTTAAAATAATAATGAATTATTCCAAAAGCTACGCGATCTTCTATTTCCTTATTTATATATTAATTATAAGTTTTATTATTTATAAATGTAATATATGAATATAAATATTTATAATACATAAAGGGAAATGGTGTTATTAAAAAAAAAAGTATGTCGAATGAAAAAAGGATATAAATACTAATTATTTCAAAAAACTTATAATGATCCATACATTTTTCAAAAAGTTATAGCAATATAAAATTAAAAATATAAAAAAGAATTTTTTTACAAAAATCTTATTTTTTTTATTAACTTTGATGTCTGTTTTCACTGTGAAGACAAAATAAAGTCCAACATTTTTTTTTCCATAATAAAATATATTACATTAACTTTAATTTAAGATATATATAAAAGTGTCAGTTTCCGGAACACTTTCAAAAGTTAATTTTTTGTGAAAAAGTTGTAATTTTGAATTCCCCTCGTGGGTAGGTACAGGCACGTAGACATGGGTAGGCCTGGCCCCCCCTAGATTTAATGTGGCCCAGGGCCGGCCCCCCCCAAATTTAAAATTCAATTATTTTTACGAATTATCAAAAACGTGCTAGGCCTTATATACATTGAAATTATTATTAATTTGTGATTACTATTGAGTAATACAGTTATTATTATGGCTGTATTTTCATTTTTATATTCATAGAAAACGTTATTTGAAAAAGATAACGCTCTAGACGTAATAATAAATTGAGTAGCAGTTACTCCAAACGTGGTTGTAGGTAAATTTTTTTTAACTCTAGTCCAACAAATTATAACAAACTACCAAGTATCTGCATTGATTAGAATCTAGTTGATTACAAAATTCGATAGAGTAATACTCTATGAAAAATTTTTTGATAAATCTTATCTTTAATTTGTTTATTTTTTTATAATTTAGTAGTTACAATAAGTAATTTTTTTTTTTTTTTTGTTAATTTGTTATTTGCGTGCTCTAAATAACAGTAATAAAAATATGACTAAAAAAAAGCAAGAATTGTTATTAATTTTAAATAAAATAAATTTTACATTGTTTATAATTTATATTTATTTTAAAAATTTTAAAATGTTGCGGAAAATCTGACACTTATTTATATTTTAAATTAAAGCTAATGTAATGTACTTTTTTATTTAAAAAAATTTCGGACTTTATTTTGTCTTCACGGTCAAAATGGCTACCAAATGCTATTTTTGTGTGAAAATTCTCGATTTTGTATTTTACATTTTTAACTTAATAATGCTATAACTTTTTGAAAAATGTATGGATCAACACAATTTTTTTATAAGAAATAATATTTTTTAATAATCCCTTTTTCATTCGACGTACTTTATCTTAATCAGGATATTAATAAGGAAATAGCAGATCATGTAACTTTTTGAATAATCCACCAATTTTTTAAAAATAAACACAAATTTTGAACTTGTAAGATTCATAAAATGGGATACTGTCTAAGGAGGAGTGGAGGGAGCCCCCCACAAGCTTTTAATGAGAAACAAATTATGGAAAATGATACAAAGGCCCAAAATTGTTGGCCCCTCCAATAAACATTTTCTGGCTACGTGCCTGGGTAGGTAAAGGGTCAGATTTATAAAAACAATATACCAATGGACATCTAAAAAATAAAATTATATTAATTTGGTTATTTTTGATAAAGTTTTAGCAGTTTAAAGTATAAAAAATTTCGAAAATTTTTAAAATTGTAATTTTTTTGGAGATTTCCTCCATTTACGGGGAACGAGGGAAATTTTTTCAATTTATGAGGTTTATGTCTTCGACTAGATATGATTTGTGATCTTTTGACGTATCGTGAAAGAAATCGGTTCGGTGAGAGCTGAGAAAAAGTAGTAACAGACACAAAAAAAATTAAAAAAAACATACATCATAGTAAAACTAATACCTTCTCAGCTTCGTGTCGAAGCGTCAAATCAATTAACTACTCTATCTGTTATATATTAATATACAATCAGCGGCATATTTATAAGTAGGCAATATAGACAACTGCCTACAGCGGTATATTTTAAAGGGCGCCAAATATTGAGGGCTAACAAATTTGTAAAAAGCGAGTTATTTTTTTATTGTTGCTAAGACATATTGAGTTTCTAATAATTATCATAATCGTTTTCATTTATTGTGAATTTATTATACGTACATTAATAGCTACAAGCAATTTATTTATGATTTATTAATAAACATAGATTAGCTTGAAAAATACTTTTTTTTTGAGGAATAATTTGTAATGTTATGGCAAGAATATATAAAAATGAGCCTTCTCCTATAACGTAATGAAATGCGGCAAATTTTTATATACCTATAGGAGGAAAATATGTGATTACGCCCCTATATATACTACACTATAATGATACTATAAATAAATAAACTAGCACATACACACATTTGCATTTGTAATATTGTGTCTAATGTAAGTATAACATAATAAAAAGTAACCGTAAAATTGAAAAAATGCAAAATAAATTTTAGTTCTCATATTAAATGTAATGTAACTCGAAAAATATTTATTTAAATGAAAATTTTATTTTTTCATTTAAATAAAATTGTCTTTTAAAGAACTTTTATACGAAACTCTTTTTTGTAAGTATTTTGACTTGAAATATTTATTGACAAAATTAAAAAAGCTCATATTTTAGCTTCGATGCGAAGCTGAGAAGGTATTAATTTTACCATTTTACTTTTTTACAAAAAACTAACTTTTTCAACTTAATTTTTGAAAATGTTCCGGAAATACTGCGTCCTTTAAACATATATCAAATTAAAGCTTATTTTATGTACTACTAAATGAAAAAAAAAAATTTGTCCCAACGACCTATCTTCTATGCGCAAAAGACATATGATATTATACTTATTAACATTTTTTACTTTTTTAAAGTCGAAAAAGTAATTTTTAAATTTGAGTCAGCTTAAATAGCCAATTTTATCATGCAACAAAAAACAACGAACAGTTGTCGAATGGGTAACATCTTGATCTTACACGCCTAGTGTACGAGGTCAATTCCGTCTGTAACTTCTAAGATTTTGCATTTTTTTTTTTGAGTTAAAATAGAATTTTCAAATCATTTGATATTTATCTCATTTAGATTCAATAATTTCAGTAAATATAAAGGATCCTATCACTATAGTCTCCCTTTGTTAGAAGAAATTGATATTCATGTCAATATTATTTTACTATGTGGTTCTTTTTTGGCTACGATTTATTTTGCCAACCCTCACTAGACCTACTTTTTTCAACGATACGTCAAATGATTCATTTAAGTTTATGATATTTAAGTTAATGATTAGTTTAAGTTATTACTCTTAAAAATCAAAAAAATATTCCTTATTCAAATAAAAAGTAGCTTAACTAGATTTGTCCATACAAACAATTAAAATCATTAATTTTTAATATTCTTAAATTATTTATTGTCGAATTAAATTTGATATGATAAAAGTATTCAACTACAAAAGTAAATAATTTTACTTTATAATTTATTAATTTTTTAACTCTATTTCTGTGTGCTACTACCAGTCTATAATATGCCAAATTTTTTAGTAATATGTTGCTATATAAATCATAAATTTAAAAAAAAAATGATTTTTAGTTTCACCTGAAGTTAACGATGGAGTTTTACAATTATAATTATATTTTTGATAATATGCTCAATTGAGTAAATCTTTTTAACTACTTTGGTTTGATTGGTTCATTTAATTAAAGTAAATTATTAAAATTAATTAAGTTCTGAATATTTCAATTGCAGAATTTTTTTAAACACCAAAAGTTATTAGGATATGATTACTATTCTTTCTATTTCAGTTATCTATTACGATAAAAATGTAAAAAAATCGAATTTTTCTGACAAATGTACTGTAATTAGTAATTATAAAATTTCCAGATTGCATATTAATCTTAAAAATTTCATTTTTTTCAATTTAATAATGTCAATTTCAAACTTGCAAGTTGAACTATAAGTTATGGTAACAAATTCATTTTTTAGCTTCGATGCGAAGCTGAGAAGGTATTTTTCATTAAAACTTTCACTTTAAAAGACAATAAAAAATAGGTTCAAAATGATTACCTTTAACATATTAAAAATCAAAATCAGTATTAATTTAATACAATTTTTTTTGTTCTTAATTATTTTTTTTTATATGTAAATACTTATTTTTTAATAATAAGTAATAATATTAAAACTTAGAAGTAATAGAAAAAGTTTAATTGCACATTTGAAAACATCACGAAAAGTTTATTTAGAAAAGTATATTTTTTTTCTGATGAAAGTTCCTTTTGTTTAGTGTATTTATTCATAAGTAACAAAATTTTTTTATTAAAAAGTATTGCATAAATTCCTTTAAATTTGTATACGCATTAAAAGTATATGAATATACAACTCCTTTTTATTTTTATAATATCTCCGTAAAAATTACAATATTATATTATTGAATACCACTTTCATACTCAATTTAATTACTGTAATTATTATGTATTCATATATTATAGTTATAAATCGGGGTAAAATTAAGGGAATAAGTGTTATTGTTGTTTTTGAAATAATCTACCAATTTCATTTTTTTCTATTTAATAATATTTATTTCAAACTTGCAAGTTGAGTTAAAAGTTATGGTAATAAATTCATTTTTTTTTTATTAAAACTTTCACTTTAAAGAACAAAAAGAAGTAGGTTCAAAATGATTACTTTTAACATATTAAAAATCAATAATAATTTGAAAATAATTAATTATAAAAATTATATAATATATAATTAAAATAATTACTAATCTGGATATAATTAAGGAAATAGGAGTTGATGTTGGGTTGGGTTGGTTACATTTTTAACTTTATAATGCTATAACTCATTGAAAAGTGTACGAATCAACACAATTTTTTTATGAGAAATAATATTTTTTAATAATCCCTTTTTCATTCGACATACTTTATCTTAATCAGGGTATTAATAAGAAACTAGCAGATAATGTAGCTTTTGTAATTATCCACCAATTTCTTAGAATTAAACACTATCTACTGATTTGCATCGAAGCGTTTCTTATGATAGTGATTTTAATCACTGTCAGATTAAATCTATACTGGACCCAACTATGCAACATCCCCACTATGCCGCGACCCCACTGTGCTGGGTTTTTAACTTTAACAATGCTATAAAAAAGCATAAGGCCAATCGATAGAGACTTTTAGTATGTACATTATACATATCTTAATTCAACTTAAAAAAAAAAATTGGTTGGGAATTTTTTCAGCCGTTTTGTTGACTGGCCTAAATAGACTTTTGATTCAATTAATACCCTTCAATTTATGTTCCTTACAAATAGGATAACTATGAAAAATTAATTTAAAATTATCAGATTATTTTTTTTTTTTAATGATTTTTAAGTCCTCGCAATACAGTATCTGTAAATTAAAACACAAAGTATTTTTTCACAATACTGTGTTTTTGTTGTTTTGACAGCCGATTTATTCTTTAAGTAAAATCATTGATATTATTAAACATTAAAAACAAAAATTTTAATTTTAATTTGTTAAGGTTTAATGAACACAGATGTTTCAAAACAGTATGAAATTGAAATTAAAAACAAAAGTTAACATGTGTATGAGGTCTCATTCAAACCCTTCCTATATTTAAGTTTTTTATGGATTCTCATAAAAATTCAGCTATTTTAATTTTGACATATTCTTTTTAATATCCAAATTCAAAGGGAGTTTCTTAATTTTTGAAAGAGATATCTTAAACTGGATCACAATCGTATTTTATTTTTGACGTATTGATCAACAAAACGAGTCCAGTGAAAGCTGAGAATTTTTATGAACAAATAAACAAAAATAAACTCTAAGATAAATACAATGCCTTTTCAGTTTCTCATCAAAGGTAATAATTATAGGCTTTTGAAGTAATATCATTTTTCGTTTTTTTAAAACTAATATAAGGATGCATAATATTGTCATATTTAATTTATTATACCGATTAACTGTACTCCAGAATTTAAGATCTCCTAGACTAATGTTTTTTAAAAAATATTGAAAATATATTGGCCAATAGATATTTTATATTATAAAATAAAAAAATTTAGAATCTATAATTTTTTTTGTAACTTCAAAATTCAGTTAAATTTTACTATTTGGCAATTAAAAACATCAATAAATCTAATTAAGTTATTCAATAAAAATAGTAAAATAATGGTTACAAAAAAAATGTTGCACTAAATTTTAAAATGTACACATTTATTATAAAATTTTACAAATAAAAATAATCCAAGTTAAATAAAAAAAAATTGTTTAGTAATTTTATGAATATTTAAAATTAATATTATTTAAGATTTTTTTGTAAATAAGACAGAAATATGGATAATTAAAAAAAATTATTTAAATACCGTTATATAAAATATGATAAATTAGAATTAAAAAAAAAAAATACAGGAAAAAGATAAGAGATTAAGTAACCTATTATATTTGTACATAAATGTTTTAAACTATTCAATAATTTTATTTACTTAAATAGAAAAATACACCTAAAATATTTATGAAATCAATTTGAATTATACATTAAAATTATTTAAAATAGTAGTTATTATTTAATTACACGTGACGCATGAAAAGAGAGTTTAGACATCATTGTATCATTAATATGACGACAATATTTTAAGGTATAACTTTGTTTTGTTTTATTTTCTTCTTTTAGGTGTTTATCGAAATCTGGGTATGTTGTACTATTTGATTTGTCTAAATTCAATAAAAGTTTTGGATGGAAATTCCATATTCTTAATGATTCGTCTGTACTTGCAACAGCTAAAAATCAATAGTATTTTCATATTTTGGAAAAATTAACATAAAATAGAATATAGTGAATATGGTAAATAACATAAAATATGAAAGCATACTCGTAACAATATGATAATTGACAAACAACTTTCCTAAAAAGGTGTATTAAAAATGAATGTCTGAAAAAATTAAATCTAAACTCAACTTTTTTAATAATTTAATAATCTATATTTTTTATTTAATGGACCTTCAAATTCAAATTTTGGTATAAATACAGGGTGTTAGTAAATTCAATGTCACAAGTAGTAGAATGATATTCAGTAGAACCTAAAAATAGCAAAATTAAAAACTAAAATTTCCTATCTCCAAAATTGGGATTTTTCTGGTTCCCCACTTCAAATTTTATTTTAATAAAAAATAAATATCATCACGGTATTTCCCACAAAATTCTCATACAAATTGAGCGGTTATTCGATTTTTTGTAACTTTCGCGCCCTCCCCTGAACTTTGGGTTCAAAGTTGGAAAAAATTTCGCTTTAGTGTGACCCATCAATTTGTATTGAAATTTTCCTAGAAGTCCTGTGATATTTATTTTTAGTTTTAACGATTACATAACGAGAAAAATCGGAAAACCCACTGATAATGTGATATTTTTTTAATTTCACGAGCGGGACGATAAACTTGTGGTATTTTTTTTCTCGATGTACTGCCTTTTAAAACTTTATTACAATAGGATAATTACAAATAATTATTTTGATGTAATCAGCACACTACTCTTTCCCAAAATTAATCACTAATAAGAATATTACGAATGTAATTGGTACATCACTGAGCTTGTTAATATTTATTTAAATGTTCGAAAATACTGTTCACTATTGAATAGTCACTAATTAAGAAATTATTAGATAATTTTTAAAATTTAGCTTCTTTTTTTATGTAATAAAAATGCATAAATTTCAGTAATAACGAATAAGCTATAGTAAACAAATAACCTGTTTTGTAAAACATTTTTAATGTGCATCACTTGCTTAAAAATATAATTTAAATTTACACTTTTTCATTTACAAAACCATCCACTGTTTAAGCATTTATTTAAATTTTTTTGTTATAAAAATTTAAGTAAACTATTCTTATAAACTGCATTTGTTTTTTTTAGCTTCGATGCGAAGCGGAGAAGGTATTAATTTTACTATGATGTGTTTTTTTTTTTTTTTATGTCTGTTGCCACTTTTTCTCAGCTCTCACTGGACCGATTTCTTTCAAAAATACGTCAAAAGATCACAAATCGTATCTAGTTGAAGACATTACCCTTAAAAATTGAAAAAAATTCCCTCGTTCCCCGCAAATGGGGGAAATATCTAAAAGAATTACAAATTTAAAAATCGCTAATTTTTGAAATTTTTTCACTTCTTTTTCTTAAAACTTCCATAACTTTTTGAAAAATCAACAAATCAAAATATTTTTTTTTTATACTAAAACCTTAAATATTTACCTTCCATTTGATATCATTTTTTTGAAAATCTAACACTTAACCTGCTCATTGGGGGAGATTTAAAATAGCAACTTTTTTACAAAAACTAACTTTTTCAACTTAATTTTTGAAAATGTTCCGGAAATACTGCGTCCTTTAAACATATAT